TGGAGGGATGGATGGCTAGAAGGACAGACAGGGGGCATGTCGGGGATGGATGGATGGATAGAAGGACAGACAGGGGGGCATGTCGGGGATGGAAGGAGGGATGGATGGATAGAAGAACAGACAGGGAGGCGATGTCCGGGATGGATGGAGGGATGGATGGCTAGAAGGACAGACAGGGGGCATGTCGGGGATGGATGGATGGATAGAAGGACAGACAGGGGGGCATGTCGGGGATGGATGGATAGAAGGATAGATGGGGGCGTGTCGGGGATGGATGGACGGCTGGATGGATAGAAGGATAGATGGGGGCGTGTCGGGGATGGATGGAGGGATGGATGGATAGAAGGATAGACAAGGGGGCAGGTCAGGGATGGATGGACAGATGGATGGATAGAAGGATAGACGGGGGCGTGTCAGGTGATGGATGGATGGATAGAAGGATAGACAGGGGGCATGTCAGGGATGGAAGGATGGATGGATGGATAGAAGGATAGACGGGGGGCGTGTCGGGGATGGATGGACGGATGGATGGATAGAAGGATAGACAGGGAGTGTGTTGGGGAGGAATGGATGGATAGAAGGATAGACAGGGGGGCGTGTCGGGGATGGAAGGATACATCATCTCTCACTCTGGTCTTTCCCTCGCAGCTTGTGTGACCGGCTGTGATTTCGACACCTTGGATGACCTGTGTGGCTGGCAGAACACACCTGGGACGGGCGGAGCCCTCTGGGGGCAGTGGGTCGGGGCCGGGGACCAAGCAGGGGTCGGCCCCCAGGACGATTTCTCAAAGCCTGGAAGTGAGTAGGCGACGATGCCCCAAGGTGCCGCGTTTCCCCACGGGACCCAAACACAGGCCCTGATGCCGCACGGGCTTTACAGATCCCCTGGCAAACCCAGGAGTCCAGGGTCCCTGTATCACCAGACGCCCGCCCCAGAGGTGGCCACATCCCAGCGCTGGGCTAGGGGTCCCCGTGTAACCGGCTGCCCCGCCCCAGAGGTGGCCGCATCTCAGCACCGGGCGAGGGGTCCCCGTGTAACCGGCCGCCCCACCCCAGAGGTGGCCGCATCTCAGCGCCGGGTGAGGGGTCCCTGGGTAACCAGCCGCCCCGCCCCAGAGGTGGGCGCATCTCAGCACTGGGCAAGGGGTCCCCATGTCACCAGCCACTGCGCCCCAGAGGTGGCCACATCTCAGCGCCAGGTGAGGGGTCCCTGTGTAACCAGCCACCCCGCCCCAGAGGTGGGCGCATCTCAGCTCCGGGTGAAGGGTCCCTGGGTAACCGGCCGCCCCGCCCCAGAGGTGGGCGCATCTCCGCGCCCAGTGGTGACTGATTGACTCCTTGTCTTCTCCTCGCAGTCGGATACTACATGCTGATGGAGTTCCTGGAGTCGGAGGCCGGAGGCAGCGCCCTGCTTCGGAGCCCCCCTTACCCGTCCCTGGGGGGCTGCCTGGCCCTGAGTTTCTACTACATCGTCCATGGCAAATCTCCCTCCGCCACCCTCAATGTCTACGCTGCCCCCGCAGGCATGTCTGGGTCTAGCCAGGGCTCTGTCTGTCCCCGTCCTCCCCCGTTAGCCCCTGCTTCTATCCACGGTTCTTGGCCTGGGTCTCAAATATAGGGCTGGATTAAGCTCCACCCCTCAGGCCACAGCCCCGCCTCTCATGCCAACGCCCCGCCCCCAGGCTATGGCCCCATTCTCATTTGGATTTGCAGAGGTAGGAAGTGCCAGTACATTTCCTTTCTCAGTGAGGCAGTGGTGGCAGCGGTGGGATATTTTGGGGTTGAGCTGATCAGGGATGTCTCTGCTGGCAGGGAGGCCTTCTGCCACACAGACATCCCCCCGCTGGGGTGGGCTTTCCCTGTATAACTAGCAAGCCCACCCCAGAAGTGACCGCATCTGAGCCCTGGGCGAGGGGTCCCTGTATAACCAGCCGCCCCGCCCCAGAAGTGGTGCCGGGCGTGGGGTTTCCATATATAACCCATGTTTCTCTTTGCCTGTAGGGGTGACAGGAGCTGATCTGGGGACCCCACTTCTGAGCCTCCGGGGGGACCAGGGAGCTGACTGGCAGTGGGGACTGGTGAATTATACTGGGACCAGCGAGATTCAGGTAAAGGGGGGGCAGGGGGGAGGCCTGGGGGGAGGGACCTAGGGAGGGGAGTGTCCTCCACCTGACCCTGTGAGACTCACCTCCCGTATTTGCGTCTCCCCCACCCCCCAGTTTGTTTTCCAGGGCAGCTATGCCGAGAAGCCGGAGCCCGGGCTGGCGGTGGACAGCGTCCGGGTGTGGCCATGCGAAGGTAACAGCGCTCAGTCTCCACTGGGTGCAGCCCCGGGGGTGGGGAGCTGGGCGTGATGGGGGAGGGGTCCCGGCCGCTCTGCCCTGACAGGCTCCCCCCGCTTCCTGCCCCCTGTAGAGACCTTCACCCAGTGCGACTTCAACAACGCCAGCAACCCGCTGTGCGGCTGGGCCCAGCCCAACGACGATGCCGGCAACTGGATCCGGACCAACCAGCCCACGCCCACCGAGGAGACCGGGCCACCGGGGGACTATCCCCACGGCGGTAAGGAGATGTGGGGTTAAACCTGCCGCCCCCCCCGCCCCCCACCAGGCCTGCCACCCTGGCTCTCGGTCTGTCAATCCATCCATCCCCCCAACACCCTCTGTCCATCCATCCATCCATCTGTCCTTTCATCCATACATCCATCTCCAAACACAGATATCCATCCATCCATCCATCCATCCATCCATCCATCCCCAAACAACCTATCCATCCATTCGTCCATCCATCCATCCCCTTACACATCCATCCATCCATCCCCAAACAAACCTATCCATCCATT